TTTATTATTGTGCTAGGAGGCCCCTTTTTTTGTGAAATGGTTTTGACTCATGGTGGGAGTAGATGGCTGTCAGCCTCAGCTTTCTGTGTGGTGCAGCAGCAAAGTATATTTTAAGTAAAAACTGTCCCTTAGACTTATCTACTTCTTTATTTAATCTGCAAGTTGTTTCAGGAGTTCACAATTTACTTAGAGTGTTTTGATGCTGAAGTGGTAGCTGCTTTTGAACTTCTGGGATGTTCAGAACAGTAGGAAGTGGTTGATTTAGCCAGATGTACCTTCATTGTACATGGTGTCACACTCACATACTCTTGTCCTAAGAAGGGCACACAAGACTTTTTCCACAGTTCAGCATTCTAGGACTATGCTATCTGAAAAGTCTCAGCAACAGATAACCTCGAATATCATGTATTTGAAGCCATAATTATTTTAGTTTGTCAGACATTTAATGTAAAACAATCTCCACCATGTACTGGCGTATCTGAATCTGTCCCTAAGCCATCTTAACATTTCTTTCAGACCATGATGTTTGCAGCCACTGCTGTACTCTCAGGAAAATAAAGCAATGTAGAGCCACAAAAATAAATTTAACCAAAAGTATGCAATCCACTTTTTAATTATAATTCAACTGTTCTTGAAAGAGAACTTTTTTATACAAATCCCTCTTATTCATTAGCTGGACCCACTTTTCACTTCAGTTTTCTTGTATTTTACAAATAAGCAAAGAACAGACTTGAACTTCCTCTAAGGTTCACTGTATATTGTCACTGAATCCCATGTACTGTGATGTTGTGACTTCCATTCCATGGGTAGGGTTCGATGCAGTGAACTGTTTGCATGACCTGTTACCAATCATTAACAAGAACTTGCTCGTACAGGTATTTCTGGTGAGAAGCATTTCTAGTCACCTGGAATGAACTGCTGTGGATTTAGCTGATGAATCATTTTCATTCCCATTTTCTAAAGAGAGTTATTTGGTATAAAGACTTTAATGGGAATTGTATGTATTGCTGAAGTTATGGTAATAGTTACACTCTCTTGAAGACTTGCTCTGTAACGTAAAGAGAATGCAGAAAAAAGCCCAAGGTTTTGTTTAACTTACTTTGTATTCATTGATCCAGATCCTTAATCACTTTAGTTATGCATTGACTCAAGGCACCATATTGGAAAGCCTAAAGCTGCCTGCTGGATTCCTGGTGCAACTGTATTATTCCTGTAGGAGGGACCACTGATCATTGTGTGGGGTATGAGATGCATATGGGAGACCTGTACAGATACCCTGCTTTAGGTATTGCATGGTTACATTTGTTTCTTCCTGATTTACTATCCCCAACACTAGGAGCCTAAGCAGAATCACACCAAACTGAAGAAATTTTCAGTTTTCTTCTGTAGGTCACAGGACTGCCAAGTAGTAACTGAATACACTGAAAAATACAAAAATACAGAAGATATTGTACAGCTATGATCTTCTTAACCATCTATTGCGTATCATCACCTAATTTGTCCTTCCTTCAATTGATAAGAGGCCCATTGGTTTTAGGCCCACTGAGGTGACATGGAGAACTTGCAGGCAGATAGAGTGATTGCAGGATAAATGCAAGGAATAAACAGAGCCAATAAGGAACGCAGAATACATGTAGGTGTTCAGCAACTAGGGTCAGTTTGCATTTGTAATCTGTGTAGTGATTATGACTTAAGACACATCTGATAAAACCCCATATTTCCCTTGCTAATTACAGTGTGCTTCAGACTGGTTTAAAGAGAGAAAGATACTTCATTATTATGATGGAATTTCCAAACAGAAAAATAAAATGTTTATCTAACAGAACAGAACTCCATTAAGTCTCACATTGTTTTTAAGCAGACAATTGGATGTATCATCTATTCCTTCATTCACTGAAACAATCTCCAGGCTTGTGTCAGAGGATGTCAGCTTTTGTTGCTTCCTTTGAATTCGGAGAAGCATGCATTTATTTATCTGACGCTAACCCAGATCTCACATGACGGGAGCACGAGACCAATATTGCACCATGACCCTTTCCTCTGGAGTTACTTTAACAAATGAACTTTTGGTTCTGATTATTTTGCTGTATTTACTTTAATGTATCTTCTTATTCTTCACTTAAATTACACTTTTATTTACAGCATTTATCAAGAGTTTAAGGCCTCATAAATAAGTGGAAACTTGCTTATGTAGCCATTAAAGTAAACCTCCACTGAGTTGACTCAGTGACACTGTTATAAAATGAGGAGACATGAGGAGAATCAGTAGAGACTTAAGATCTGCCACTGGACTTTGAATTCCCTGTTTGTGACATCCTTCAGTCACAAGAGCAAAACAGATGCTGAAGTTCTAAGGTCTTATGATAAAATTCGAGCTGGATATCTGTCCTCTCATTATTTGCAAATGTTGCAAATCGCTCCAGCAGACATTACCAGCATACAGTTACTGACAGCCTCGTAATTCCATATCCATTTGACTTTTTTTTAAGAAACGTATACATTACCAATCTAGATAAGAGAAATTATTACATCAGTTAATTTCCAAGGTCACTGATATTTCTGTGCTGTGATGCTTTGAACAGTTTGAAACATGTCAAAAAGGGGGATCATTTATGTTCAGCGGGAAGGGAAACTGTCTGTTATTTCCACCAGGACCATTGCTCCTCCCAGATAAGAAAGTGAGTAGAAACAAGATGATAATTATAAATATTATTGTTTGAAATTGGAGACTTGTCCAGATTAGAGTTCATAACTACCTCCTGCAGTGAAATTGGAACGTAACAACAAAGAATATACTTGCAGTGGAAAGCAAAATTAGGATTTAAGACAACTATTCATTCAGAAGCTATGGACAAAGGGCTACAGAGGCCTACAGATCTAAGAGGGGTTAATATAAGAACTGGAATGGTCAGACAATTTTAAAAGTAGTCTGTAATAATTTAACAATTGTTAACGTCTTTATTCTACTGTTTGTAAAACAAAAAAAGTGTATTTTTTCCTCTCAGAAAGGGTAATGCATCAGACCCGAGTTTAAACCTATTTAGAGTTTATGAATTTCCAAAACTGATGAATTAGATCTATCTACACCCACAGCCAACATTATAAAATTCCCTAATATTTGCTTTAAGACAAAGGAACTTTTTTCCCTCAATGAATCTTGAAGCAGAACAGTGATTTAAGGTAAGGTGAATGTTATAAAACAAGATGCTTATGGCTTATCACTATGGATGTAGTTAAGCTCTCCTTAATATTATACAAGTTATAGTAAAGATAAGGTAATAATAAATAATACAATAAACAGTATCTATCACCCCGGTGATAATTGCTAACAACAGCTGCTTCTCATCTCTATAAGGGAACCAAGGGTCTCCAGGTGTCTCTGCATACTACATGGGACGAAATACCAGCTTCTCAGCAGTGACCACTGTACATTTCCATCCTCAATCTGCTTTCCGTAGCAAGGTAGCTGTTTTTTAGTTAGCTTTTTCAGCTCAGTTTACTCCCTCTGGACCCTTTATTCTTCAGTGCTTGTGAGCTGCTAGTCTCAGCAGCCCTTAGTGCTATTAGATATAGCTTGTAGGCTCAGCACTTACCAAGTCTTGCGCACAGCCCTCTCTACAAAGCTGAAAAAGAAATGGGAATGTGCTATTGCTCTGCATTTGGTAGTATCTCCATCTGTGTTGCAACAATTGGCAGGAGACAATATGTCGATCACTACTGAGCTGCACTTTATTCCTCACACTATAAATGGATCTGTACCTGCTTCATTTCTTTTTGTCTTTGTCAGTGCTTATTTAGGAATTGACAGATTTGATGCATACCAAATACTTACTTCCAGCCAGACCTGCAGAGCTTTATTGGCACTGAAAATCAACACCCTATCTTGAGGCAGGAGGCCCAGCAAATAGTCTACCATTGTAATAGTAAAGGACTTCATCACAGTTATGAGGGCTTGTTCCCAAACTGGCAAAGGATATAAGGATGTGTTTCCCTAACAACATCAGGAACGTGAGCACATTCTACCCTTTAAAAAAATTCAATCCCATTCTGATGTCTGTTTTCTGCAACATGTCCTCTAAGACTACTGAATAAAACTTCAGATCTTTCTTCCTTCCTTCCACTGACTTGAGCATAGGACTCCTACAGGAAAACCCCCAAGGTTGCAGTTCCATTTCGCACACCCAACCAGAAGCATAAAGCTCATCTGTGCAGGAGACAGTCTCAGGCCATAGAACTAAGCAATATAAATCTCACCACCTTAAACTCTGAGCACACTGTATTTTTAAACATTTCTTTTTCTATAAACACACATAACACGTACATTGAAGGAGAGGAAACTCAAGCAAACTGCTGCCAAAATAAAACACTCCATGCATAAACAATTCTCTCACTGAGGAAGGAGAATAAGGAAACAGTTTAACCTGAATGTCTACACAGCCTTCAGTGATCCAGGGTATTAAGAAATCATGACAGAGTAATACAGAGTTAAGAGGCTGTTGCCAGTTGGTAGAGCTTCATGGCTTTCATGTAGCTACACTGATTTCAATGGCTGAAGATCAGGGCTCTAAGCTTCAACCATTGTTAAACTGACAGGTCCTCTAGAAACCAGTTTTAAGGCTGAGACATAATCAAGAGCAGCTGGGCAAAAGGAGCTCTGTACTGCACATGCCCTCAGACAGGGCATGCCATTCTCTAAGGCAAATACCAGATAAAGAACATGGGAGAAAAACCTGCTAGCTCAGCATTTTTATAAATAGAGAAGTACCTTCCCCCCCTCACTGTGGTTACCACTGTGTTAGGGAAGTAATGAGTCCTTGCCCCACGCCCCTCCTCTGACTGTACCACTAACTCCTGCTGGCTGGGGAGACCAACAAAATACATACGCTGATATTCAAAGTCCTTGTATTAAAAATACCTTGCTGTTCTGCAGCAGGAACGGTTTCCATGTGGAATTAGTTAACAGGAAAGTATTTTGGCTACTTTTGCTAAAGGGGTTTGCTTTGCTTGCAAGGTCATGCAGAATGAGCTCCCTGAACTTTGAACCGTATCTGCGAAGTGAGATAAACAAGAGCAGTATAAATACCACAGCCCTTCTCCCCACAGAGTTTTCTTCTGCAGCAGCATTAAGCGGAGCTGCCAAGGAGGGGGAGGAGGAGCGGGTAAGCGTGCTGGTTTTGCTGTGAAATAACTCCATGATTTAAGGTTTGGCAGCGTGTCTGCTTGTTGCTTTGGCTGAAAGGGCTGACTGTTGAAATCCCCATTGGAAACCAACTAGGGAGTTGAAATATGAAGGGAAGTATAATTCAGAATCTCGCTCATGGGGTGAGACAGCTGTTGCTGGGTGCTCTATGCTAGTGCTGCAGAAGGCCATAAAGACATAGAGGGATCTCAAGATGTCACAGGAGTTTCGTGTGTTTATAATGGCTGTAAAGGGGGGCAGATTTCTAGATGTGTGGAAAGAGTGAAAAACTGCCCGTGTTGGTATCTGTTGGACCACAGTTGAATCTTCAAAGTCCTGCACCTAAAATGCTTTTGGGACAACTTCAGGAAAGAAACATCAGGGACAGACAGATGTCACAAATGATATTGGCTCTGCAGCAGCTGCTTCTTGTTTTAAAAAATTAATTATTAAAATGTTGGATTTTGTTTTAGAATATAACAAGACTGATGTAAGCACAGGTGTTATTTATCAGAAATCAGTATTTCCAAAACATTCTGTGTTTTCTGTGAGGCTTTGATGCAAGTGGTGAAATTATCAGCTTCGCAACCTAGGACATATTGGGAAGCAGTTTTATATTTCATATATTTCTCAATAATGAGATTTTTTTAATGAACATACTAAGCCAAAATTACTAGTTAATGGAATAAAAGGAAAAGGTAACTACGGGGTTTCTCATATGCTTTGATTTTCATAAACATTTTGTAAATCCCCACTAAGTGTGGGTAGAAGATTCTGTGAGGTGTGAGGAATCCTGAAACTCTGTTTTCACTCCTGTTTTTGCAAAATTGTTTCTAGTGCCTGAGTCCTTCCGAGATTTTTCTTGATGATACCCAAATGCCACAGACTGAATTGTAAAAATCTGTAAGCTTTTTTTTCCTTATAAACTTCTGCCAGGTTCTGTAGTTCTGTGCACCACATCAGCCTGTTGATGCAAGTAACTTTTAAGTCAGTGGAACTACTCTGGAATCTGGAGTGAACTAGTCTAGATTCATAGTAGCATAAACAGGCTTAGCAAAACTGATTTTGAAACACAAGTAGTAGGGCCACTTTCCAATCATGGAAATGTTAAAAGCAGTCAAGAAAAAAGTTACAAAGAGGAAAAAAGCATAGTCTGAATAGCGGCATTAAAAGAAAATCCAGTCATCCTGAACACTTACTTTTCAGATGTTTATGTACAACAACAATAAAAAAATACTACCTAATTATTATTGGGGAATTCCATTGCAGATAGAGAAAGAAGATACAACATCAAGCAGGAAACAGAGAAGCTGAATTAATTTTATTTTACTTCTTTTAACTGGATTGAATTAATTTTGTTTTACTTTTTTTTTCCTCTGTGTTTTGTTATGAAAAGAGCCTGAGCTTTTTCTCATTTTGTTTATTTTTTCTCTTTTCAGACAAAGCCCAGCCATGTGGGCAGGGCTGGGGCTAGTTCTGGCTCTCTGTCTCCTCCCAGGGGAAGGAACAGAGAGCCAGTACTGCAAGGAGCCCCCAGAATGGCATATTGGGGAGGAAAACCCAATGCTGAGCTCTAGGGGGTCGGTGACAGTGGTGGCTCTCCTCCAAGCTAGCTGATACTTGTGTGTGCTGCAGGCTTCAAGGTAAGAGTAAATATTTTTCCTGGGTTTTGTTAAAACATGAACTGGTCAATGTTTTAATGCCATCTGAGGATAACACGTGTCCAACTGTATACGTATGCACTCCATAAACTCTAGCTTCCTCAAATACTGCCATCCTAGCTGGCATGTAGGACCCAGTGACCAGGTTAACTCTCAGCAGTCGTGTTCTGTGCCAGTTGCTCAGATTCTTTATCTCTTGACTTAGTCCTGACTGACAGATAGTCTCTCCAGATTGTCCTTACACAGAAGTATGATCAACTTGACTTTAGTGAAAACCAAAAGAACAGTTTCTCAAGACCGCACTTCAGTCACCCACAGATGATTAGTGTAGCCAAGATGCTGAGGCCAAGAAACATCATAATTCCCTGACATGGCTAGAACATCTGAAACAGATCCATGATCACTCATTTCTCATGAGCGATCTGTAGGGGAGAAGGCACATAAACCCACGTGCTTTTAATGTGCTTTCACCTCTTCAGAGGTCCTAGATATTAAAGAAAAAAGGTAAGGTCAAGGCTGGCCTTTTGAAAAAGAGATGAAGCATTTGAAGGAACCATCAGCGTTACATTTTCATACAAGACTGGGACTTTGGGCTCTGTTTACTAGAAGCTACTTCTGTGCAAATAATTAGCTTACCTGACAGTAACAGCAGCACGAAAATAATTCTGAGCTGACCCAAACAGGAATTGCATACCGTCCTTATCTTGGATTCATTTAGTGATTGTGAAATCATTTTGGTTTAAAAATTTGTAATCCTCATTTCAGAGCTTCATTTTAGTCACTGTGACAGCATCTTAGTTTCCCCCTCTTGGCTGCATAACTTCATATTATAAAAGTCTTTACTAGTTTTTGAAGAACTAGATACAAAAAAATGGTGGTAAATCTCTGGCTCCATCAAAGTCAAAAGTGGGCTTTGTGGTTGGCTTTTAAGGTAGTTAGGTTTGATTCTGTGTATTTATTGAAGGTTTGAAAGACTCTTTCAAGCTCTAGATTACTTCCAGAAATTGAGGGAAAAACCAAAAACAAAAACACCCAACAAAAAACCAAACCCAAACTCCTAAGTTTTCTAGAGCAATTCAATAGGAAGGATATTAAAAGAAAAGGAAATTCAAAGAAAAGGAAAAAAAAAACCCAAACCAAAACAACAAACCCCCCAACCACATTTTAGAGCAAGAAAGCAGCTTTCTGTACTATAAACAATTTTTATGGTTGGATGCCAAAGGGAAAGACTTGCAACTGCTGGCCAGGTTGTGCACATACTCTACAGCTATCCTTTTGACCCTGTTGCTGTAGTATCCTTTTTTCTGGCTATTATAGAAAATAGCTATGTCTAGATGAGTCAGAGAACTATTGGCCTTTTACTGGAGGTTCGCTTTCTTTATTATTCACCTCCCTGCTGTATTTACAGTGTGCATTCTTTGACCAACTATGTGACCAAAACCTCAGCATTTAAATAAAGACATCAAGATAAACTAACTGTGTTATACCACGGAGAGTGTGAAAGAACTGAAATAACACTGAATTCAGTCTGAAAACAGATGTCTGCTTTACTTAGTACTGCATTCTACTTCAAAGGACTGGACTCAGGGCATGTTAGCTATTGTAGAGCCTGGTTTGCCAACAGCGTAGTTGGTAGTCATGGCAAATGGTAAGAATGTTTTTGTAGTGTTAGATTTTTGTCATTAAAACTAGGAGAAAATAACATTCAGTGTAAAAAAAAAAAAAAAAAAAAAAAGGCAAGATGGAGCATGCAAACTCCCATTGAATGTGGTAAATCTATGATTCTCTAGTGATTTATGGTCTTGCTTCTTTACACTCTCCACTAGATTGGAAGACCTGCGAGTGAAATTAGAGAATGAAGGACTGGTCAACATCTCGTATATCATTGTCAATCATCAGGGGTCCTATTCCCAGAGGAAATTTCACCTACTGCAAGAAAGCGTTTCAGAATACATTACTGTCTACCAGCAAGATGAGCAGCAAGATGATGTTTGGACTAAATTAAATGGAAACAAAGATGACTTTCTCATCTATGACAGGTCTGTTTAGAGGGGAACACAGGGAAATATTTGCATGTATTTATAGAGTAATGCTTTGCAAATCTCTGTATTATTTCACTGATGTGCAGATTACACCACAAAAAAAAGACAATTATCAATTTGTAAGTTGCAATAAGAAAAGTGCTTGCAGAAAGGAGGCTATAAAAGCGAATCTGTTTAAGTAAGCTTGGGATAAACAGTTTTTTCTTTATAATTAATGCCGATTTAGATTAACATAACTGAGTGTAGAAATTGACAGCATGATTCTGGACTGGTTTTTATTTTCAGGCAACTTCATTACATCCATGCATGTAAAAGCAGAATCAGATGAGGAGAGCTATCTCAGTTCTCATGAAACCATTTTGACCAAAGTTTTTGAAAATGTCTTGTAGCCATATGGAAAAATTAGTCTTTAGATGAAACTGGAGACTTCAGAAGAAAAGTGTCTTTTTGATCATAGGAATCTGGGACATGTACCTTTCAGCAGAACCAGTAATAGCTCTTTAACTGAAATCCTGATTTTTCAGCCTTGTGTTGGAAATTGAGAAGTCCTGTACTTCTAACGCATCCATTCTAATTACTATTATATTACTGTAATGAACACTCTCTGTTCATACTGAAGCACAGTTAAGTCTAATACAGAATTAGAAAGTTACTTAACTGCTTTTGGGTAATATGATGAAATGCAACAAATTAGCTTAATTCTGTGGGATGAAATTAGCACTGTGATGAACTTTAGAAAGTGATTGCATGTTACAGCAGCAAGTATGCCTAACTATGGGAGGTTCCTGTTGTGTGACAAACAGAAGGCAGCTGTATGGAGTCTGTGGAGGGACTCCAAAGCTGTTTGGCACATAGCATTTGAAAGGTTGAACAGTTCTGTGCTGTTGACACATAGGGTACACCTGCACTATGAACTGGTATGGCCATTGTCCATTATGGTTCTAGGAGTATATGATCTTATTGTGCCTTTACTGGTAATGTAGTTTTTGACTGTTGCTGGTTCTAGTCCTGCACTGCACGTGTGTAGGGAGAGAAGGTTTGAGGACTGTGTGTTGACACTGCAGGTGGGGTACTTCACTACTTCACCAGCTGCCCTTGAACCCAAGTTCTGCCTTTCACAGTACCAGTTGTGTAGCCAAGAGCATATCAGAATGCTCAAGTACAGATCTGAGACAAATAGGCACCATGAAAGTTCCCTTAATGCACACTAAATCAGTAGTGCAGATGATCCATAATGTACATTCCAATCAAAATACATGTTGCACAGAGCATTCTTTGTAAGGATGCAACAACATATGGCGATTTGTACCAACATTCAAACAGCCCTCCTCGTTAGCAAGACTGGTCTGTAATGTGTGCCTTTGCTAGTCTAAATGCTACTAAACTAGAGGCTTCTGCCAGTAGAGTTATTACATCAGCCAGAAATCATGCTACACACTGCTGACCAATGCAGTTGAGTGGGCAAATGTTTCTAAAGCACATACTGTTTCTGCCTGTAAATTCCTTGGACAGAAACACTCCCCATGGGGCTGTACGGTGTGTGTTGATTGATGTGAATAAAATAAAGTATGATGAGATATTTATGTTTATATATATGTAATCATAAAGCTCTTTCTCTCCTTAGATGCGGCCGTCTGGTGTATCATCTTGGTCTGCCTTACTCCTTCCTGTCTTTTGACTATGTAGAAGAATCTATTAAAATTGCATACTGTGAAAAGAAGTGTGGAAACTGCTCTTACATGGTATTCTCTCATTTCATTCTGTATATACTAGGAAGGGAAACTGGATTTGACTGGCAGTTAAAAAAAAAAAGTTTCAGTGTGATTAATCAAAATAAGACCTGATTTAGAATTTACACAATTCAAGAGCTTTTAAACTTTCAAAGTGAATTAGATTTAATTCCTAACACACTGATTATCTGAGTTCTTCACCTTGATAGAAATATAAATAATTTTCAGGAGTCTAAATGCAATCTTGGAGGATAATTTCTCTCTTACATACAGCTAATGGGCAATTAGTTGCTCTGGTTTTTGGGGGCAGGTAGGTCCTTAAACATACGGAATCAAATCCAAGCTGATTTGAGTTATTGTTCTTTTTATTTTACGTTTAAACTAAAGTATGTAATAGTTACTATTCCTTTATATAACAGTTATTTTTAAAAAGTGATAATACAAGGTGACAAATTATAAAAGGTTACCGTTATAAAAGGATAGCATTGTTTTGCATATAACCAAAGATCAGAACTGCTTTAAGGATTATCAAGAAATGCTTATATGTACTCATGAAAGTTCAATGATATGAACAATTTTTTATGCCATCATGGAGTTTTCTTAGGCAGGCCAGATGTGGGATCTTAGAAAAAGGTTGCTTTTTATTAGCAATTACTTGAATTCAAATTCCTGTAAGTTTGCACTGAGAGCCCTGTCTTGTCATCAGTGGTGTTGTAAAATAAGGTTCTTTTTGATACATTCATATATTTTTTTCAGCAAAGTAGCAGAAATAATGTAAAATTGGGCCTCTCTTCAGCAAAAATGTGAAGCTAATTAATATTTTACAACTAGTTTCATTAAATATAATGCTTTGTATTTAATGCAAGCTTCTGTTTTGCAGGAAGCTGATACGGATGTTGTATGTGAAAACACCACAAAGAAAGCAGATGAAAAGCTAGCAGAGACAGAACCCAAACCAACTGGTCAGCATTCACATCACCACAACCTGCACAGAAACAGACACCACCACCATCATGAAGGCAGTCGTCACTCAAAAAATGAGAACCATGAGGCTCCTTCTGAAACTCAAAGACGTCATCGTCATGGTGGTAGACGTCATAGAGTTTTTGGCCATAACAGACACAATCAGACAGGCAGTCAAGAGCAGGTAGACACTGCTCCTCCAGAAGAAGGTATAGAAACTGCACAAGATAAAAAGCTATGAAAAAAGGGGAAAAGCACCTGTAAAAACCAGTTAAGTTGAAATTGGCAGACAGCATCAGACTCAACTTCTAGTAGCTGATGCTGTCATTGTCGACACCTTTTGTTTGAAGAGCTAGGGAATTCTGTCACTTGACAGTGTCGCGGAGCACTTCCAAATTCCTGCAGGTGACATGGCCAGCTGTCAGTAGAAGACATCACTGAATCTTGACAGTGACGTCTGCTCGCTGCTGCCTGACAGTCGCCAGCAGCACAAGCAAGTGAAACCAGTGACACCTGACAGTGAGAGGAAAAGGCAAGAAACTGAACCTGAAAAACAAACTAAGCATCACCTTAAAAAAATGCAAGGGAGTCCTAATACCTAAATTCATAGAGTTGTGAGAGTAGAAAAATTAACATATTAAGTGTTTTTATTGCCCTCCATTAAGAATTATACTAGAGAGAGGTGTGTAGAATTAAAATATTATAAAGAGATAGACATTTGGAGCAGTGCTCGTAGAATTACACAATACCTGTCAAATCCCATCAGTGAAAAGCTTCATAATTTCAAGGAATTTAATTGGCCTGTTATTTGTTTTTCAGATGCAGTGGAAAGGTGTCTTGATTAATTTGTCTTTCTTGTTTCTCTTCTAATATTCTGCTTGCATTTGTGAGGACAGGAGCATAAACTATGACCTAGGGGCTCCTGATCTGATGTTTTGCAATCAAGAATGGAAGATAACCAAAAAAAAAGACATTTTAATCATTTTTTTCTTAAGAAAATGGAATATATTCCAAATCTTTTTTTTTCTTCTAACCTGGGGATACACATTATATATGAGAAAAGATTGCTCTTTAGCAACATGCCAAAACAGCTGTTGATCTCAAACATAAGATACATGCACTAATTGCATTATTTCAAAGTAACAGATTTATATGCTTAACTTTTGTGGCTTAGGTACAGTATCAGGATCCATTAATACTTTCTATAACAATTTAACCAACTTGCCTAAAGTGGAAAACAGTGTTAACAACTCTTCATGCAGAATCAAGAACAGTATCAGAAAGAGGAGAGACAGGACAAATTTAATCCTGGCTTAATGTTTCTCTTCATTTATAACAGTGCTGAATTTGATAAATCTGTATTGATTGGTAAGGTAATATACCACATAACCTTGCATAACTTCTTTGTCTGTAGCTTAGCATTCCTAACTTTGATTAACTGAGCTGAAGTAAAAATACAGTTGTTTGAAGGATTCCTGGATGAAGATTAGTCAAGAAAGGCAAACTGCTCTGAAAGTGTACACGATAATTAATGATGGTTTAATAGGAAAATTATTACTCCTTTGAAACCTGAATCTTCTTATTGTGAATGCTGATGAGCAAGAAAGTAGCCCTGAATGTACACAGAATGCATGGCTTTGGAGTATTTGACAAGAGTCTTTCTAATAAATACTCAGCATTTCTTCATATCTTGTTTTTATTTTTATGTAAACATTTTGAAATACACTGAGCTTACTTCTCATTATATGTAGTAATGAAGTACATCATGTCATTTACTCAGAATTGCCTCTGTTTGAAGTGCTGCTCTTGCTCTTGAAGAAGACGTTTCTCTAATTCTTTTATGGTGTTTCTCAGACGTTCAAGTTCTTGGTTTTTCTCCTCCTGGAAATTTTGCAGCTTCTGTAAAAATGCAAGCAAAGGCTTCATTGCTAAACATCACACAGAATTATGTACCAACACAATACGCTGTTACTAATGAGAAATATTCTAGTAAGAATATTTTTCTAACTATTTTGTGTCACAAAACTACAAAGCTGACTTCCCCAAAATCCTATTTTTTGTGACATTTCAACGTCCCAAGCCTACAAAACCAGTAATGCACATATATAATTTAAAGCACAGTAATTTATGTTACTCCTATCTGAAGTTTCCAGATTAACAATTCTGTACGAAACCCACTTCACATACGGGCTTTTGCTGTTGAGCTTTATCGACATTGGTGCAGAGACAGGAAACCAGCTGTCTAGAGGTGGGAGGGAATGTAGAGAGGAAGATGGACATGAAACTGCACACACCCCCAGCTCCCCAATCTCCAAAGTTTTGTTGCAGAAGAGACACAGTAAAACCACAGGGAGCTGCTGTTTCAAACAGGCTCTAATAATGTTTACTATCTGCAGAATATAGACACTTAAAAATACGTACTCTTCTATAGATACTTTGTGGAAACGCAGAAGATTCCCAAAATGATCTTTTTCTACCCTGAACTGTTGCCAGTTTAGCATTGAACTGAAAGAATCAAGAAAAAGCAAAACATTAAATATGGGGAAAAAAAAAACCCAAACATATAATTTTCACTTTTTTTAAAAATTGGATTTTGTATATTAAAGCTTATCTACTATGTAATATGACAATGAAGCTAATTCAGTTTATTTAAAAGACGAATGCAATTACGAGTTACGTTTCTTTAAAAAATACCTCAAAATATTGTAAAAAGTTAATAGTACAGACACAATACAAACTAAATACATTTAGACAAGCAAGATGATTACTAAAATATTTGAAGTGTCCACCATGCATGTCTGTAGGAGAAAATACAAAGGATGCTAAAAACCTCTGAAACCATCATCTTTCCCTCATGTCCTAAGGAAAACTCAGCCCAAACACTTTAACATCCTATTTATTTTTTGATATGCAAAAGTTTTGAAGTATTTCCTTAGTTGTTTCCGTAATGACAGTGGCTTAAAATCTGAGCCATGACGTATGTGTTGAATTCTGTGACTCAAATCACCACAGAAGTCTTTAAGCTCCTGGAAGTTTATATAAAAAGATATCTTTCCAGGTTCCACAAGTTAGAAAGAATAAAAATAAGCAAAACGTTTTTTATATAGCTGAAAAGCTAGCAGAATTGTCAAAATGTTTCAACACAAGAAAACTGCAAACTTCAATCTCCCCCTATAGCAGGTAGAACTCGATTCCTGAGCAGAAGCAACTCAGATACTATTATGGAAGGGAGCACATGCCACTGAGCTTTGTGAAGACAATATTTTTTGAAATTTCCCAGATACCATCATATTACTTTGTTAAGTACTAATTACTGTTTTTCACAACACAGTCTCTTCTAGGTTTACCCGAAGCCCAGCTGATCTTAACTCAGCTTTGTGATGTGTACCTCTATCTGCAGTTTAATGATTTCTTTCTGCTTCTCTTCGTTTTGAATTCTCAGCTGTCTAGTTATCTCTTGTGTTTCCAGGTCTTTTCTCTCTCTTTCTTCTTTATACTCCTTTTCTTTTGCTTCAACTAGTAACATAGTAAGATCAAATATGATGATTACAGAAGACGTTTAGATGGAAAAATGACAATTTCCCAAATATTAAAAAAATTAATGAATAGCAGATCAACATTTCACAGGAAAACAATTCAAGCAAAGGATGTAAGACACACACCCCCCCCCATCCTATCTCAGTAAGATGAGGTCTCTTTGAAGAAGCATTGTATTTTACAAGAGTTTGCCTTTCTTCAGCTACTTGGATGAGCCTCTTCAAGGCTATGTCAGTAACAGGAAAAATAAATATTGAAATGATTTTTTTTCTTGTTGCAGTATTATTTATTTGTGAAAATGAGCATAGCTCATTTGCTCATATGCTCATACTTCCCTGAGTATAGCTGGAACACTCTTAACAGCAGTCTAGCTAATAGTTCAAAGCAATAGTTTAAATTAAACCGAACTTTAATTCCTTCAGATTTTTAGGTCCAAATTTCCATTGTCTGTTCTACCTGTTTGTGAATTTCTGCTCATCCTGGGCTGCTGTACTAATGCCTCATTGCCACTGTCTGTTCTTGAGCTTTCATATTTAGCTTTCATATTTCCACAATGAAGCAGAACTTGTACTTTTCCTTGATGAAGGTGTAGCTCCTACAGGTTACAACATTTTTTACCTAATGCCATAGCATTCAGTCCTCAGAGAACTTACTTTTTTTCATCATATCGCAATTCAGCTTCATTATTTCTGATTTATGGTCTTCCTCTTTGGTTTTAATTTCCTTCATAAGTTTCTCAATCTGATCTTTATATTCCTGCGAATGCGAAAGGCTTCATAAAAATACTGAGTTTTCTGTGCTCTCAGTCTTCTCTGAAGCACAGCATTCATGTGAAATGTACAATACTCTGTAATTCAGTATGTGCTTTATCCTCTATCTAGTAAATTCAAAATGCCCAATTACTTCTTATGCAATCTGACTGAAGTCCACAGACAAAAAATACAGCACACTTCATTGCACTGCAGCTATCAGTTAATATAAAATCAGAAATTGTACTCATTAGGAGAACAGGCAAATGGAGAAGTAACGTTCCTTTCCCCAAGGATCTGATACAGTGCTGCAGTTATGCAAGTGATACAGTTTTATATTTGTGGATATTTGCTTGTAAGATTATACAACAAAAATTGAATTTAAAGTATGAATTTTCTCAGTATTGCTTATCCCAAGGATTTCACAACTTCATACTGGCAGCAGTCCAAAAGTCAGTGGTATCAGCAGCAGTGATGCTGGTGGCACTGATACGCAAGTAGAAGAGTTGAGCATGCCTATTGTTAAGTTTGCTCCAATTACTACTCCAGAATTATCAAGTAACTGGCAGTAGCTGCCAGTGTAGAATGACTTACTTCAAAACTCGTCAGAGCCTTCTGACAAGGTAGGTAGCCACTCACCAGAGCAATGCTCAGAAACACTCAGAAAAGCAGTTACTGATCAGTGGTAATAGTATATGTGGACATAGTCAAGTGCCTTCAAGACAACAGCAGGAAGTTTCGCCATGCCATACATCTGTATAACGCACAGAATCATAGTTTTCTCATGTCTGTCAGAAGGTGTTACTTAGTTTATTCTCAGGCTGTCAAGATGACACCTCTATTTGTATAAAAATTTAATTTTAACTCACGGTTAGTACAAACACAGGCAAAGAAAATCAGTAGTGGGATTCCTAATCCTATAGAGGTAACGGATCTGCAATCTTAGCACAGAGAACTAACACAAATAGTGATTAGCACTGCTGGTGTTAACGTCCTTTCCAAAAATGAATGGCATAGATAAAAAGTAGAGATGGCAAATGGAATTTATTATGACATACAGATAAAAAGGACAGACCCATTATCTTTGTAGCATGTACTCCAAAAGAAACTACAGTCAAAATTCAGACAGTTCTTGATTCTCTGGCAGTACAGCAGGCATTGTGAATATCAAAACCTTAGTTCCACATAAAAATAATCTTACTCAAGGGATTAGATTTTTGAATTAATTTAATTGAATTTTAAGCTAAGTACAGGAGAAAAAAAAAAGTGCAATTTAGATTGGGCCAGAATTTTCAGCTCTTAGGAGTTCTGACCTCTTAGTCCCTCTAACACATTCTCATATTGGTATTTCATGAGAACAACTCTTTCCACATGACAAATTTTAGAAAAAGTGCAACAGTAATGGTATCAGTAGCAAACCCAAGAATATAAAGGTATACAAATTGCTAACACGGACATGAACAAATATGCCTTTACATAAAGAACCATCACTTGTGACGTACCTGTTCACAAGTCTTTAATTTTTCTTCCAAGATGTGAATGGTACCCTTTAGTCTATCATTCTCATCTATGTAAATAAAAAATTATATGATATACTAAGAAGTACATTTTTACAGTATTATTAGCAGGAAAGCAGAATAAGGAAATTAATTCAATTTTTCAACTTTCCTTACCTTTAAGAAACTTTTTGTGTAGACATGCTAGTCATCATTTACAGAACTACACAGTCTCCATTTTCTTCTTTAACAAGAAAATTAATAGTTTAACCAGTTGATAAAAACTATGCATAACCATTTCAATACACTACAGTCCAACAGCTGAATGGTAACATCTCACTTTTTGTAAAACTGCCTGTGCTATGCTGAAGTAAATTTAAAGTCCAGCTATTGATTAAAAACCCCTCACTGAGGCAGAACTTCTTTTACACGTGGATTCTAAGTAGGATAATAGCAACAGACATTCATTAAGCACCACAGACCACTAAAGTCTGCACAAGACTGATTTTAGGGTTTTTTCCCCTTTTCTGCTTGGCTGTGAGTTTCTCTCTCTGAAAAAGAGCAGTAAATGTTAATAATAAAAAAATTAAATGCCTGCTCATTCAAAATTACGGTACAATATATATGTAGAAACATTTTTGCTTTTACCTTTCACATTACACTGTTTTTCAATGGTTTGTGCTAAACCCTTCATCACATTCTGTAGAGTGGCACATTCTAAAAGAAATTAGAAATCCAGTATTTTTAAATAATTACTTCAAAATTTTAATTTTATATTTTGTTTATAAAACATTTTATAATTGTCTTGATTAAATATTAGTCTAGGTCTTCCTCCTGACTACAGAAATAACTAAGATTATTATTATATGGTTACTGCTTAGTTTTAGCTTTCAGTATACGAGAGATTAAAAACAATTATGTCAAGAAATATGAACAATTTCATAAAGCTATTACAATTTTGCTTCTAGCCAGAAAACAGAGATGCTACTGTTTTCTGGGCAATAATGGAAGTCTTCCATATCAGCATTCCAGCAATTTGATGTAATTAATGAAATTGAGGTTTACTTTCCTGATAGTGTTCTTGCCAGGATTCTTTTTCACAAGACCAGCACTATCCACTTACTGCAGTTTCTCCCTTTTTAGAGCATACTAACTTGATCTTCTGGGTCAACATAAGCTTGGAGAGATTCAGAATATGCTACTATAACCCCATTAACTCATTTCAAACAAAATAATTATATCTGTGTGCACATGCATGCAACTTATCAGTTTAAATACTTGTGTATTTAATTATTTTATTTTTTAATTGTATTTTTAGTACTTGAAAACCATACTGGCTGCCTGTAATACAATATTCAGTTTTCATTATATATTGTTTTCATCCCTTATGTTTGTTCCTTGTAAACTTATCAGTAAAGTAGCAAAACATTCAAAGACTGAGAAGACTGGAGACACTAAACTTGAGGTTGCTTACTTATTCTTACTTTACTCTTAAAATCTTTCTCTCTGTTTCTGGAGTACCACTGCATTTAAGGGACTATTAGTTTCCACAACAGATAGATCATGCTAAGTAACAGCTACTTGTCTCATGAGACCAAAGCTCTGTTGCAAACTGTAGATCATAAAGATTAGATTACAAATAATGGAGTCAGGAAAACGAACTGAGATCCCAGCTCAGAGATTCAGTTTTCCACTCAATCTTTTTGACCCTTAGTCTATTCTTGCATCAACTTCCCTTTTCAGGCAGCAGAGTGAGTATGTTAGCTATATTCTCCCGGTCCACGCTTGCAAGAAGCCAGTAGAGGGAGCACGAACAGCACAAAAACATTGCCTGTCCCCAGCTCCTGCCCTGGAACGAAAAGCGTTTGTGGAAGAAGGCGGAAGCGGCAGTTAGCCTACCCATTTGTACCAGCTAGTTTTGCAGTGTATACACTACAAATTGCCTCCTAAAAATTTGAAAACCTATAGAAATAAACCCGAATGCTTCCGATTCATGGATAAAGTCAAAAGACACCTATGCATTTCAGTAAACAGCAGCTACTCTCACAATGAGTCACAGCTATTTAAGTGCAAGCCACTGTTTTATATCTGCTTTAGATCTGTTTATCTTTCTTTAAAGGATGTATCCTGGCAAATCCCTTATGTGTTTCCAGTTGTGACTGGAAAAGAATACTGGAAACCCAAGTTTTTCTTGTTTACGTTAAGGAAGAAAAACAAAAATTTTGCTAAATGGTTGCAGCTTTGTGGCTCACTGACCCAGCATTTGTTATGGATTCCATGTGGTTCCTTCCCCTTAAAGAATACTGTCTACATGCAGAAAGACTAAACAGCCTAAGGTGCTCTTCTTCCCTGTTTAATATTTATAATTTCTTGCAGCTTCTTCTGTCTGCATTTATAACTGACGCCACTGGCTTCTTTTAAAGGACAATCACACCAGGCACTTCGTCCTTTGACACCTCTGAAAAAGTAAGTCAGGAAATACGCAGTCCTAAAGATGCTAAGTAGAGCCACCGTAATTACTCACAGACAATAATGTGATTGGTTTCATTTTAGAAACTACACTAGTTTTTAGTTCAGAATTGTAGCCTGCACCACAAGAGTCCATTCAGTCACCAGAGACAAGGTTTAGGGGCAGAAGACAAGAATTCCAGGCTTGTGTCTGTCTTAAGCCCATCTGCAATGATTCACTCTAAACAAAAACTGCAGTTCTGAATCTCACCTTTGTTTAGCAAGAAAGTATCAAGGCAAAATAAAGCTGTCAGGGTCCGACAGGAGAAAAAACCCAGCACTGGACCTTGTTTCAGTTCGTAATCCCAATAGTGAAATTAAGATGCAAACAAGGTCAAGTACCATAATTGGACTCTTTGCTTATTACACATTTCAAAAAGACAGTTATTGTAAAAAAAGAGGGAAATTACTGTAATAAAGGGGATAGCGATAGGACAGATTGGAAAAGAGATAGAAAATGAAGTAAGAATTTGGGGTGCAGAGAGAGCAGCAGATAGTCACCACTGTGGATCCAGCGGTGTCCTGGGGATCTGTTGTTGTCATCCTTGGGTGTGGGAGTTCTTCAGGGTTCGTAGTCTTGTAGTATTAGAGCAGAGTGTCCCCCAAGAGTCCATCAGCGGTGGTTTGTCCTCGTGGAGGCATCCTTCTGGAGTTCCGTTGAAGGTACCCCGTGGAGTGTGTCTCATGGAGGTGCCCTCATGGCGATGTCTCACAGAGGGTGTCCCTCAGGGTCCGTAGTAGTCATTGGCAGAGAGTATCCTCACAAAGGTGTCCTTCTGGAGTCATCCTCATGGCAATAGCTCCCTGGTGATGTGTCTCTTGGTGATGTCCTTTTCCCCTTTTGTAAAGAGTTGGGGGGAGTACCTCTGCTCTTCATGTCACGTATTACATGTTTCTGGTGGACCAGTTTCCCTGGTCTTGCAGCCAGCTCTTCAAATTCGATGTCTGCACACAAACACAAACACACACACACACACACACACACACATACACACACACACACACACACACACACACACGTGTCTGCAGCAATTCTTGGGATAATGGACAGCAATTCCTCACACCAGTCCTCAAGGTAAGGGACTGAAGAGTCTTACCAAGTCTTTCCCATTCATCCCTCAGGCAATGGATGGTGGAGTCCCATTTCAATTCCTCACACCAATCCTTAAGGCAATGGAAGAATCTTAACTCCTCCCACCCTTCTCCCAGGCAATGGATGGAAGAGTCTTATCTCAACTCCTCCCACCAATCACTGAGACAGTGGTCCTGTAGTCCCATTCCAATTCCTCACACCAATCCTTGAGGAAATGGAGGGAAGAATCTTAGCTTCTACCAATCTTTGAGACAATGGACACTGGAGTCTGATTTTGGATCAATCTCTCACAAAAGCTCATTTATGACCGTTCAGAACATGTATACATTTGCCCAGTTGCTCATCTTTTCTCATCTTATCTTTGGTTCAAGTGTTTCACTCTCCCCCCTCCCCTGAGATTTAGAAATTTTCTTTCTTCCCTTGCATTTCCTTCAGAATTCTCAGTCTCCTTTTATCTTAAACAGTTCCAGAGAGAAACTTCCTGCAATCAGGGATATCACGGGGTCCTCAGGTTCTCACTTGTTGAAGACTTTCCGGGGCACTATTTCTGTTTCTCATAGTAACAAAGAGTTCTTAGGCAACATAAAATTCCACCCAACCACCACTAGCAGTCGCAAACCCCTCAGGATAGACAAAACAGCTTTTCCTGCCATAATGCCCTTTCACTCTGCTCCTCTGCTGTAAGTAGCATGTTTATCTGGAATTGTATGTGAACCATTCATCACTATGTGGTCTCTCAAGTTTTTTGCCTTAGTTGTTCTGTGACTTGCTTTGTGGTTTACTGATAAACCTTATATTCTAAAAAGGAGTGGTTTACCTATCCTGCAAATTCACACAACTGGCGGATAGCTGTTGCCAGAGTAAGAATGGAAGTATCAGTGCTCCGTGTGGCCCCTTATAGCTTCTTCAGTTTTGCAGAGGATCCTTTTATAACTGCATCAGTAATAGTGTTTTTTAATCCCACAGTGCTTTGGCTTTCAAAAAGTTTTTACAAGGAACTGCAGTGGTCCGATTCTGAATACACAGTATGCTATTACCCCTTGTGAAGGGTCAATGTTGCAGGTGAATTTGATGAAGGTTCAAAGCCCATTTCTATCCATTTCAAAATGAAAAAAAAACCACAAATCCAAAATGTTTTATAAATACATACTGTAATTTATAATGAGTACACCAACCATAATGTCCTTGTGAAATACTTCTAACATTGCGGTCACTGCTGATTTCCCATAAAATGGGAACTGTTTACCTCTGATTCCTCTGACAGCATCTGCTGCAGATTATGGCAATTTCCTGCACAAAATGTTTTGGGAATATCTGCTTTCTGACCACCATTCATGAATGCAATTAAAAAATACAAACTCGTAAACACTTCATGACATGATACTTGAAGTGTCTGCCTTATTGGTAAGCACATTAACCTAACAGAACAGCCACAATAACCGTCTAATTTCTAAATACATTCTGTCCCTTTGGTGCCTCTTACTTACCTTTATCTTCTGAAGTAAAAGGGGATACCTCCTGGATGTTCTATGTATTTCAAGTTCCTGCTTTTCACTTTGTTTTGTTACTGCTACTAACAGCTCTGTCATCTCTCTTCCTCATGGACCAGAATCCTTGCATTCCAATAATTCTGCCTCCTGTCTAAATCTGTACCAATTTGTACAACCACTATGACTTCAATATTATTGAGATCTGTTTTTTCTTGACTATCCCTGCTGCTAAAACTTGAATTAATTTTTCATGCCGACTGCTCTGCTTCTTCTCTCTTGGACTTTGGCCATTCACATTTTTTTTTCCAATCGTGTTTCAAAACAGATCCAGAGGTCATTTTCTTCAGTTGTATCTGTGTAACTAACTCTTCAAATCATTTCACTCTTACCTCAACGAAGTGAGGCACTACTATTTACAATGCTGCAATCTCTCTCCTGACTTTACAGCATTTTCAGTCCATCCTACTTGCACAATCCTTGTTTCAGTCAGCACAGCTGCTCTGATTCCCTGAGTTGTCGCTTTCACTTTTCTGCTTTTATCCCATAGTTTCTGTTGAAAAAAAGATTTGTTGTCCACCTTTTCCTTTCCCCTTTTTAAAAATCTGTATTGTGTAATCCCCCTCCTCTCTGTTTTTGTCAATAATGAAACCTCTTGATCTGTTTCTGAATGTCTGTCCTGCATTGTCTTTTGTCCTTAATAGAGAAACAAATGCCTCTAATGAATCAAACCAAAGTTCAACCCAGTTCATTATCCCACTTCACAATACCCAGTAGAAGATACTTCAGAAAAGAAGGGAAAAGCTGGAAAAACGTTACCCCTAATCTATTCTGACAGTTTCACAAAAAGTAAGGGAGACCTGAGTGAGAGGTACTGCCATTGTGTTTAACAAAGATGATAAGTTTTGATAAATAATTTTTAAAAATCTTTTTGGACTAATCTATTCTTCTGTTATCCACAAGTTCCTGTGGAACTGATTTAACAAATTTATTTCGCAATGTATGGAAAAGTTCCTCCTTTTGTTTTCTTTAAATCAATGAACAAGTTCTCTTATTAAACAGTGACTATTCATCTCCTAGTCCCTTTGTGTTCATAATTTTACAGCTGCTAAATCATATTAGCTTTACTCTTTCTCTTCAGGCTGAAAAGGACCCAGTGAATTTAAGTCTTTCTTCAGTGATGTTCCAAAATTGTGACCAAACCTGTGAGGACCCAAGTGCACTCTGCCCCCCCCCCCCCCCTTCTGGGTGTTCTGCTGGGCTCAAGACCAACTTAGAAAGAGTATCTCTGGTAAACTTGAAAAAAGCTTTTTGAAGAAAGCTGTCAGAAGACTCAGAAGGGGCTGTCCCTTCTTCCCCTGTGAGGTGCTTTTAAGCTGAGGCTTTTGCCTTTGGCCTAACTTTATCTATGGCACAGCTGTGTTGCAGCGATCTACATACCATGTAGATCTAGAGCCTCCTCATGACCTAGGGAGTGACTTCCTGGCTTGATTTCAAACTTGCCTCATTACAGACGGTGTCTGGCCCCTGTTACTATTTTTGAAGCTGATCCTGCCTCAGCCTCCTGTCTTGACCTTGGACCTGTTCCATCACTACATATTTGTTTGGTAATGTGGACTTTTGGCTGATCCTGACAGCCCTCACTTGGGCCAAGCCTGCATGGGTACAGTGGGAGTGAATCTCGGCTGGTGAAGTCCCTGCTTCTGTGGGCCTTGTTACATGATTGGTTCCTGATAGCCCATCCCCTGCTCCTCCCTGACAATAGCAAACCTTGCCACCTTCTCCGTTATCTTTTCTAGTTCTGGCATGTCCATTTTGAAACAACCACACCAGAACTTTACATGAAAATCACAGACTTTACATGGACATGATATGCATTTCTCTACTTCTCCCATAAGCTTGCCTATCACTGTTTTTGCCTCTTTGACCACTTACATTTTCAGAGAACTACCCAGAAACACACCAATATGTCTTCCCTGAAAAGTAGCCAACTAAGGCCTACCACTCTGCACAAAATACCTCCCATATGCACTGTTACTGGTATTCCTATCCCCTTTCTATCACTCATTATTGGAATCTGTTACCCAGATTCTTGGTGTAACGGAATTGACTGGCATCATGAGCAAACTTAATTAATTCCAATTAATTTCTGATTATGCTACATTATTTAAGTCCCATCACATCTCTAAGTGAAACCAACTAGCAACCTCACTCCAGCATGTAACTAAGTTTTATTCTTAAACTTATACGTTTTATTCTGTTTCCTAACACTTAACAAGTTGATTTGTCAGAGACCAAAGTTCTACAAAAAGACTCATCTTTCAGCAGCTCTGTAGAGAAGAATAAGCAACCACAAATGTATGCTAAGTTCTAGATACTATTTCTCTTTTCAAATACTCATCTGAAAAGATATACTTCTAGAATAACAATAATAAAAATCCTCCTTCATTTGGCAGGATTATACATCATTTTTGTTATGATGTACAGGCTTATAATTTCCACCTATAAAACAGTAAATGCCATATGATTATTTCATTATGAACAGTTTGAATTCTCTTAATACATACTGTTACTACCATTCATTACTATTTAGCACCATAATGACATCTGGTATACAAAGCAAAATAGAGCCCCAGCTGATCGCATTAAAGCTGACAGTAACACAAGTGCAGCCTGTGGAATAAGCTTATAACAGTGATGTCAGCTTAACTGAAATCAGCCTTACATGGCTATATACAATTCCTTACACTTCGTAACTGGAAATGAGATAAAGACAGTGACATTAAAAACACAAAGTGGGCTGTCACATTGTTTAATCTGATCTCTTCAGAGATTAAATCTCACACAGATAAGAAGTGTAATCACTTGGGCCAGTTTTTTAGTCCTCTAGAGATTAAATTTTTTGTATAGGCAGAAGACACTGAGATTCCACCAACACCCAATGTCCTTACATAACCAATTTATGTGAATGGAATTCAGACAGGAATACTAAACCTTCAATATACCAGTCAACATGGTACAAGGAAAATACATTCCCAGGCAATCTGGACTATTGGATTGTCCCTAAGCAAACCAAATCACGAAAGCTACTAAGAAACATAATTCTTTGTGTTACATCAGAGCAATAGCCCCACCAGCCTGACATGCCATCTCCAATTACAGGCAATCTTTCTTTGACATTTCAGAGGGAAGCAAATTATGCATCCAAGAATGAACCTGACTCATTTCTCACTGGGCAAAACATTTCTGGTGACCAGGTGAAACATAACATTTGCCATCTTGATACCATTGGAGCAGCTCAACTGGAGGCAGGATAGCGTCAGTCCTGACCTTATTTTTCCCAAATGTTGGCCCTATTGTTCTACACAGACATTTGAGCTGCTTGTGGATTAATCCAACTCACAGGCTAGCATTTCAAGTAAAACTGCCGATGACAGTTTGCTTAAAAATACTGCCTTTGTAAACTGTGGGAGTTCACTAGAAGCTCAAGAGGCCTGCATGAATGGGAAAGGCAAAACGTCAAAAGAAAAAAGATGAAAAAAAAAATGCAGAAGGAAAGTTTTTATTGCATAGATACTGCATGCACTCAAAAATCTCTTTAAGTGGATGAATATTACATCAGGTGGAAACTAGTAACTTTAATGCAGTTCTCAAGGCATGTTTGTGGGTTAAAGTTATCTGGTTTATGCAAATGACATGGATTCTATTACATGAACCAGGATTAAGTATAAGTGGTTTTCACACAGTATCTTCGATCCTTGCTATTTTTTTTGTGTGTTTTATATGGCTGAAAATAATGGAATTTCCTAAATAGATGCAAAAAACGTACAGTTTTTTAAAAAATAACTTACCTTCTCTTACTGATTCTTCCTTTGACTGGCTTAATGTTAACAATCTGTTACATTTTTCCAGCTTAAAAACCAGTACATTATTTACATCATTAACTTCTGTTATTTTCTAGAAAATCAGAAAAAATTATACTAGTTATACAAATGATACAGTATCTTTAAAGTTTTAAATCTTGAGTTTTACATTAATATAAGATTTAACAATTTTGCAACACTGCAGTCACAAACCCACTTCATTGGCCATTCTGGAAATTCTGTTATAGAGAAGAATGATGCTTGACTTGAGAACCTGTGCTATTAAAAGTTTACTCTTTAGAACTAAGAATGCCAACTCACATCACTAGTTATAAATTGAGTTATTCTCAATTCAGTAGTCCACAGGCTGGATCAATCCTCGGCAAAGTTCTTTTTACTGCTTTGCATATAAGGCTGTCAGTGCTTTAACTGAGCACCAACGTAAGTAATGGGTGTGAATAGGAACTCGTGTATTTTTTCCATGAGAAATGCAAAATTTCTCAGATGCCCCTTTTATATTATCTCTAGCATGGATTTACTGACCAGGAAATCACAGAGAGCTGGCCAGCGTGGATCTAACAAGAAATACAGTACTGATTTTCCTCAGTGGGTCAATCTTTTCAGAACTGACATGTACATAAAATAAAGATAGCTCAATGCATATGGAATAAAAAAGCAGATGTTCCTGCTACGGCAGTGACATTTTTCAAGAACAAAGAATAATTTCTGACAGAGTAATCCAGCTGTTATCTGTTACCTCCATAACAATACTGTTATCTCCAATAACAATACTGTTATCTCCAATAGCAGCTACTGAAACAAGGGGACACTTCCATGCTTTTCATGAGAAGCCTAAATTGGCCTCTGCACATTAGAATTCTAGCACAGAAACAAAGGCTTCTCTGACTCCACAGAAGTCATTCATAACTGAAGTACAGTCAATACAAACACTCTGAAGACAGTACAAGACATTGTGATAAAAGAATAAGCTGATAACATTTAGAAGTAATTTCACTCAAAAAGCTTATTAAAGTGTCACAATATTTAGTTAGCAGTTTCAACATTTTTTGCCTTCTACACTTACCTTTTCTATCTCTGAGATGTTATCTAAAAGTTTATCAAGGTTGACCACACTGGTTCTCTTCATAGGTTCTTCAGGTCTGTGACTCATTTTTCTCCTCGACCAGTGATCACTCTATACGTGAAAAAAAGATCTGTGAATTTATACACTTCTTATTCACATGATGTCAAAAGATTTCATGTGCACAAATGTGCTCAGAATAACAATTTTTTAAAATTAAAACTTTCAAACTTAAAACTTTTAGCCTTTTTTAAAAAATAAGATTTTTGCATGTGTAGCTAAACTTGAACCTAAGATCTTGCATTTCTAGAAAATATAATGAATATTAAAAAGTGCAAGGAATATCTACCAAACTGTAAGATGATACAGATGAACTGGGATTTTTTTTCCTGCAATTAAATGTAAACCTGAATCCACTTCCATAGTGGATGCAATTTTACATAAATGTATCAGTGGTGTGCACATGGATGCTTTTAAAACATGTGATTAATTTCTCTTTAGATACCCTATTAAAACAGATTTGTCTTCCTGCCCTCACTTTAAATCAATAAAACAATTACCTGCTCTCTAATATGCCTAATTTGTTGGCAGCAGATGAAATTTTGTCAAGTTTGATTAACTTAAAAAATGTTGCTTAAGCAAGTAAGATTTCACCAGGCACACATTAATGCAGTGCCAATTGTTGAAAGCTCCTGTTGAACTGTAACCCTAAATCATGGAATCATACAATGGTTTGAACTGGAAAGGACTTTAAGATTATCTAGTTCCAATCCCTCTGCCATGGACAGGGGCACCTTCCACCAGACCAAGTGGTCCCAAGCCCCATCCAACCTGGCCTTCAACACTTCCAGGGATGGAGCATCCACAGCTTCTCTGAACAACGTGTTCTGGAGCCTCACCACCCTCACAGTAAAGAGCTTCTTTATACCTAAGGTAAATCTCCCGTGTTTAAGTTTGAACCCATTACCCTTTGTCTTACCACTACAGTCCCTGATGGAGAGCCCAGTATCTTGTCCTATTAATGCTGGTTTTCTTCCAGCAGGAAAATGAATCACTTTTATTTTTGTGTATATAATTATTGCATATATTTTCCAAAATTTTTGCTAAGCCTCCCACCCCTGCTTTGAACTATGATATCTATTTCTCTAGGGGGAAAATCAAGGATTTAAAATGTGCTTTTGTCTGTCATAAAATGGACATTTTTACTTAATCTTTATTTAACCACTTGCTGTCCATGCTCTCCAAGTAACCTCTTAAGTACCGTAGCTGGTTATCTGGTTTTGGAATTTAAGGTTTCATTTTTACTTCATGCAACAGTGAAACCTGTATTTATAAAAAGAATGTTAGTAAATACTAATCTTTAACTGCATATCTCAATCAAATACCTTAATTATTCAGTAACAGGCTCTCCAGTAGTCTCTGGACTCTACCCTTAAGACAGTTACCTGCATTGATTATAACCTCGTTTTAACTACTCTTCGAAGACCCTGGGCACACTTAAAATATCGCTCACAGATCAAAGTTATTGCCACCCAAGTGGCACCTACTTGTGGCCCACCCATCCCCTCATCCGGTTTCCCACATAGCCCCAACACCACAAAGCCATCAGCGGCACCACCGCAAACCCCACCGCCGGCGCCCACGAAGCCCTGGCGATCTCCTTTCCCGCTTCTGAAATCAGCCGACAGACAGTGCTCTGGGTAGAAGTAACACCTTTTCACAGCTTCAGGAGCACCGCGCGGCCAAAGTACCACCTGTTTCTCCTCAGTGCCTTGGTATAACCGGCAGACAAAACACAACACCCCGTTACTAACACACACAAACCACCTCTGCGCACCCACCAGAAGGCGGGAAATCAGCTCAACGGAGCGTACCACCACCGACCGTGGCGGGGGAGAGAGGGGTCTCTCCTTCTCCCCCTCCGCCCATCCTCTGGTGGGCTCGACCGCGCGTGAGCTGTGAGACCTCGTTTGAGGCCCTGTAGGAGGGAGTGCCTGCGGGCGGAGCTGAGGGGAGCCGAGGCGGGGCCGGTGGTTGTCCTCGGGGCGCCGTGACAGGTGAGTCGGGGGAGTGAGCCCCGATGCTGCCCTGGCACAGCCCCAAGGGCAGTGCAGCTGCTCCCTGCCTCACCAAAATGCCCACACAAACCTCAAATACCCCAGCAGAACACCTGCTGAGGCCCTGTTTTCACTCCTCTGTGTAGTACGTGAATTGTTTTATCAAATAGCTCCTCACATCGATATTAACCTCAGCTCAGGGGGGACTTCGTGTGTGAGTGAATGTTCCTTTGAACAGCAGCAAATAGGCACTGGATGGGAGCACTTCTGTGAGTGGTAGATCAATCAAGCGATCGATTCCTTTTATCTCAGGTTTCTCAGTATTTATACTGTGCATGTAACTATGGCGACCAAGCTGTGATACTCCCTGGTCTATCACTCCTTCTCCTGAGGGAAATTACCACAAAAGGCTTCTGAGAAAAGTTTCCAAGACGTAGAATCATTCATTCAGTTAGGTTGGAAAAGACCTTTAAGATCATGAAGTCAACCCTTAACCCAGCAGTCCTCCAAATCTGAAGTACTGAAGATGTACGGAGCTGGGTTTCTTCCCTTTATTGCTTTCCTTTCTAAATGTTCAATTTTCTGAAGGCAAGAAGACAGAGCAGCTTTGTGAGGATTATGCTGTTTATGGAGGGAAGAACCATGCTCTGGACCCTGTACTCTCTGCAGGCTACCATGTTGCTTTGTCTGTACCAGGGCAATGGGCTGGGGGTGGGGAACAGCAGGAGCCAGGTCTCACCAGCCCACAGACAACAACCAAAGCAGCAAGAAGCGATTCTGAATCCCAAGGTTGTGGAACTGGAGGTCAATACCACAGGCAGGATGCTGTCTGCTTGTGATGGGCACTGTACACAGATGCTGCTGGTGGTAATCATAGAATCATAGAATAGTTAGGGTTGGAAAGGACCTTAAGATCATCAAGTTCCAACCCCCCTGCCATGGGCAGGGACACCTCCCACTAAACCATGTCACCCAAGGCTTCGTCCAGCCTGGTCTTGAACACTGCCAGGGATGGAGCATTCACAACCTCCCTGGGCAACCTATTCCACTGCCTCACCACCCTAACAGGGAAGAATTTCCTCCTTATATCCAATCTAAACTTCCCCTGTTTAAGTTTTAACCCATTAGCCCTTGTTCTATCACTACAGTCCCTAATGAAGAGTCCCTCCACAGCATCCCTACAGACCCCCTTCAGATACTGGAAGGCTGCTATGAGGTCTCCACACAGCCTTCTCTTCTCCAGGCTGAACAGCCCCAACTTCCTCAGCCTGTCTTCATACGGAGGTGCTCATCCTCGTGGCCCTTCTCTGGACTTGTTCCAACAGTTCCATGTCCTTTTTATGTTGAGGACACCAGAACTGCACAGTTATGTTGACAATCTAAGTCCATCTGAGCCACTTCAATCTTAGCAGCTCTATCCACCTGTTAGTTGTTCTGCCGTTCCTCAGTGGCTCGATTCTTCTGCACCCCAGAAGTGATGTGTTGCCACAGTGCAGCAGCCCAGATGGGTTTACCTCTGCATTGCCAGTTGCTCTGCTTCCATTGCTGCAACCACCCCCACAGGGCATTTGCCACCATCCATGACTCAGTATAAAGTACTGGCCACTTTTCTTGTTCAGTAATGTCCAAGGCCAGCTGGATGGCTTTCACCTCAGCAAACTGACTCGATTCACCCTCTCCGTCAGCAGTTTCTGCAACTTGTCGTCCAGGACTCCATACAGCTGCCTTCCATCTCCGATGCTTTCCCACAATACAGCAGGACCCATCAGTAAACAAGGCATACTGCTTTTCACTTTTTGAGTTTGTTATATGGTGGGGCCTCTTCAGTATGCATCACCTCCTCCTCTGGTGACATTCCAAAATCTTTGCCCTCTGGCCAGTCCATGATGACTTCTAGGATGCCTGGATGACTGGGATTTCCTATTGGAGCTCATTGTGTAATTAGTGCAGTCCACTTATTCCATGTAGCATTGGTTGCATAATGTGTAGAGGAGACCCTGCCTTTAAACATCCAGCACAGCATGGGCAACTGGGGTGCCAGGAGGAGCTGTGCTTCAGTGCTAATCACTTCCGAAGCAGCTCGAACCCCTTCATAGGCTGCCAGTATCTCTTTTTCAGTTGGGGTATAGCTGGCCTCGGATCCTCTGTATCCCCAACACCAAAAGCCAAAGGGTCGACCTCGAGTCTCCCCTGGAGCTTTTTGCCAGAGGCTCCAGGTAGGACCACTCTACCTGGCTGTGGTGTACAGTACATTTTTCACATCTGGCCCCGTCTGGACTGGTCAGAGGGCTAGTGCATGAACTATCTCGTGTTTAATTTGTTCAAAGGCTTGTTGCTGCTCAGGGCCCCATTTAAAATCTTTCTTCTTCCAGGTCACATGATCGAGAGGGCTTACAATCAAACTGTAATTTGGGATGTGCATGTTCTAGATCCCCAAAACACCCAAGAACGCATGTGTTTCTTTCTGATTAGTTGGTGGAGACACTACTTTTATCTTGTTGATCACATCTGTGGGGATCTGGTGACATCCATCTTGCCATTTTATTTCCAAAAATTGAATCTCCTGTGCAGGTCCCTTGACCTTACTCCGTTTTATGGCAAAACCGGCTTTCAGCAGGGTTTGGATTATTTTCCTCCCTTTCTCAAAGACTTCTTCCGCTGTATCGCCCCACACAATGATGTCCTCAATGTATTGCAGGTGTTCTGGAGCTTGCCCCTGTTCCAGTGCAGTCTGGATCAGTCCATGGCAGATGGTAGGGCTGTGTTTCCACCCCTGGGGCAGTTGGTTCCAAGTGTAGTGGACAGCCCTCCAAGTAAAAGCAAACTGTGGCCTGCACTCTGCTGCCAAAGGAATTGAGAAAAATGCATTGGCAATATCAGCAGTGGCATGCCACTTGGCTGCCTTTGACTCCAGCTCATACTGAAGTTCTAGCATGTCCGGTACAGCAGCACTCAATGGTGGTGTGACTTTGTTCAGGCCACAATAGCCTACAGTTAGTCTCCACTCTGTCAGACTTTTGCACTGGCCAGTGCTGTACTTGTTGCTGGA